ACAGTGTGATAATTGACAATTTTAATAAGATATCTAGCTTATATGCTCCGAATATAATATATGAGGAGAAAATCAAGTTCGACTCTCAGTAATCATTTTTTATATCGGTTACACCATTCATTCGGGTGTAAATTTCACCTATGGTCATTCAAATTAAACTTTGTAATACAAAAGTCATGACTTTTCTTTCTCTTGTAAAGCAAAAGTCATTTTAGTATAGTCTTACTAATAGAAGTATTAAAGTGACCGAAAAATATAAACTTTGGTCGGAAAAATAACGTAGCTATCCTAATCCTCTAATTAATTTAGTAAAATAGATTAAAAACTTTGAATTGAAACAAAAAATGCAAATTTTGGACGAAAAACTAACGTGGATGTTGTTGGTATTTCTAAGAGACGCAGGAGTGTGAAGAAAATAATCATGACTAAATATCTCAGTAACGTATTTAAAAAGAAGTCTAGAGTTTCTAAGATTAGAGTATCTTGAGGGATATTTCGGATTTTGTCTTAAATCTACAATTTAAATACAACCGTTGAGGTCTATAATTCGCAACTGTGTTATACACTCTTTACTATTTATGTTATTTATTAAGCAGTATTTTTGGGTTAATGTTGCTCAATGGACGCATTTTGTAAATGAATTAAGTATGAGTAGCAGTTTTTAGTTTGTTAATCTTTTGTACGTTAATTGGTGATTTTGAAAGTGAATAAAATATGAGCATTAATTTTTGCATTTAGTTTGTAGGTTCAAATATGATCAGCTGTTTTCGTTATGATCACAGCTTGCTAACATCAATGACCAAAATTTTTAAAAAATGGTAACTAACTGTTTATATTATCACTCAAAATATTTACAACTCCGAGAATAAAAAAAAGCAGTTTGGACATTAGGTCACAAACTTGACATCGGATCTAACCCACTACTGCTCCACAGGTAGCCTCTATGGATAGAAATTTAGTAACTGCATGTGCCTGTCTAGCCTATATATTCTACGTGCTCTTTGATGTATCTCTCTTATAACTTGCCTTGTCACTTGATCAGTAGTTCTCAATTGAGTCTTAATAAAGATCCTTGCATTCCTTTCTTGCCACAGGTGGTATACTCCTCCAGCTAAAGTCATCCGATATATTTTCTGATCTGCAGTTTTCCTTTTTGCATGTTCCATTGCCCAAGTGACTTCATACTACCAATTGCTAGCATTCCTGCTGATGCCTTGCCATATCAACAGTTTGGACCACACTTGTTTTGCATATTCACATTGAAACAATAGGTGATCAATGTCTTCATTTTCCTTCAAGCATAAGACAAAGTCCATGTCATCTTAATTAGCCCAGCAAGCAATCGTTTCTTTTGTTTGGAGTCTCCTATGCAATGCCAAGAACAGAATAAACAGCCACTTAGGTAATCCAGCATTGTTACATATCAATCTCCTCCATGGTATTTTCTGAAAATCTCCACGAATAAGTCCATACACTTTCTTGATTGGGAGTCTACATATAAAATAGGGATCTCTTAATGGTTAGATGCCTTTTGGATATATGATACAGACTTGGTCAAAAGCGGACAATATCGTGTCTCTAGAAAATTTTTCAAGGGTGTTTAAATTTGAAAGAAGTGTAAAAAAAAATTCCGACAAAGGGTGT